TTGTTCTCTACACATGAAAGGCTACCGCGGCTCAGTGCCTCACTCTGGAGCCTGAGGGGTTCTCCCATTGATGCAGGCAATCCCCCTCCCTGAGAGGCGATGGTTAGGCCAGCGGAAAAAGCCCAGTGCGGCCCACGTGGCAACTTAGGTCGGCTTAACCATGTCGCTCAGGGGAGTGGATTTTCCACACCCCTGAGCGACGTAGCTGGGTCGACCTAGTGGAGACCAGCCCTTACAACATTGCTTCTAGAGATCTGAAGTGTGGGGTTTTTACTGGTCCCGTGGGACTGCCGTACTGGACTGAGCATTTGGAATAAAGCCCTTGGTTCCCTGTTCTGGGTTTGACAGCCAACGTGCCGTCGCCTTTGATTCATTGGTAATAGGCCCTACTTGCTTGGCAGAAGTTGCAAGACCACCTACCTTTCGCTGCATCTCTCCAGGGGATTTAGTCGTAGGTCACACGTCATGGGCGGAGTCCCAGAGGGTAGAAGGAGCGACGGATTTTAAAATGAGGTCGTTTGGGAGGGGAGGGGCTCTCTCTCCGGAACCCCTTGACCCCACATTTGCCTCACTAGCCCTCCTCCACCCTTGTCCGGAAGCTCAGCTCAAGCTTAACGAGGGGGCTGTGGGGCTGGCTGCCCTCTTTGGTGTGAGGTGGGCGATGGCAGTGCCTGGAGGGCCCTGGGCTGGGTGGGTGGCTGGAGCCTCGGCAGTCCTGAGACTCCAGAGGGGTAGGACAAGGGTGGCTTTATAATGGGCGACCCAGAGCCAAATCCCCCACAACCCATATAAATGAGAGCAGCCCCCAGCTCCTCTAACTTCCAGCGGCTTCCTGAGGGCTCTGAGTCACCCCAGGCTCCCCTGGCCCCATGTGCTACGGAGCCAGTCCTGATCCGCTCCCTTCCAGTCATAGCCGCACCCTCAGCCTGGGCGCGCCCAGCAGGCAGGGTAGTTCTGGGCCACTCTGGGCCACTTGTGGCTCGGGTAGGCCACTGGATGAGGGAACGGACTCTGTCCCGTGGGTTCCATTTCTGCCTCTGGCAGGGGAGTGGTGTCTAGGGGCTAGAGCAGGGGACATGGAGTCAGGACTCCTGGGTTCTACCCCAGGTCTGGGAAGGGATTGGGGCCTAGTGGTTAGAGCAGGAGATGGGGAGTCAGGACTCCTGGGTTCTCGTCCCATCTTGGATGCATCTGCTAACTGCAGATGGCTTAAGAGGAAGCTGCAAAGAGCTTTTCTTGGGCTATTTTGTCAGCTCCATTTCCGGCTAGGACTCTGGGCAATGAACTTTCCCAAAGGCTAACACCAAACAAAGGGTTCACAGAGCTGCTGGATGCCCCCCTCTGGCCCTGTTGGATCCCAAGGGCCCAAAACTCCACTAGCCCATCCTGGTTAGGAGCTGGCCTGAAGCCAAGGTGGTTTAGCTGCCCAGGCTGCAGTGCTGTGCCTCAGTTTCCCAGTTAGTATAATGGGATTACGGATACTCAACTTGGGGGAAGAGCAGGGTTCGTCCCTCAATTCCTGTAAAGTGCTTTGAGATACTCAGCTGAGCAGTGCTGCTATTCACCTCACCCCCGTGACTCCCTCCTGCCCCCTGTGACGAAGTGGGGGATTTTTGTGTTTTTTCCTTGTTTTTCCAATGGGTTGCATGCAGAGGGGGTGGGACTCAGTTTCCCTGGGTGTTGCTAGTTTAACAAGGTGATGGGAGAGGGAGTTTGTTGTTGCAGGGGACCGGTGAGGGAACTTGGGACCCCAGCCAATGGCCTGGAGAACGGATACCCCAGCGACTGGTGACTGGGAGGCCCAGCTCGGGAGTCTCAGCGGGTTCTGGCCAGTGGGAGGACAATGGGCTGCGAAGAGAGGACCCCTGTGGCCTAACCAGCCAGTTCCAGCCAGAGGGGCCAGAGGACAGAAGAGGGGAGAGGAGGCCCAGGCGACCCTGTTTTCCTGGAGAGAAGACAATGGACAGAGGGGGGGTTTGGGAACGGTGAGATCAGATGCCCAGCTGGGAAGCAGGGGGGGTCGGGGCTGGAGGGAGGGAGCAGGCGGAGCCCACCTGGAGGCAGGGGAGACTTGGATGTGCTGTGCTGAGGGAGGCCAGGCCTGCGGCCCTGAGAGTTTCCTGTGCTGGGTTCAAACGCTCAATAAACCCTCCTCTTTTACCCCGGCTGAGAGTCGCTCCGGTCTAGAGATCGGGGGGCATTATTCCCTCTGCGAGTGGAGGCCCCGGGGGTCCAGAGTGAGGGGACTCCCTGAGGGGGCTCACGGCAGAGACAGGTGTGCTGAGGCTCAGAGAGGTGTGGTGCCAGGAGGCGGAGGGGCTTAACCCCCACGAGCGAGTGGACCCCCGTGAAGGGCTGTCTCACTGAAGGGGGTTCCCCTCAGGGACCATATGGGGCCAAGAGTGGGCATGACCTGTGAGTCCGTGACACCCCCATTTTACAGAGGAGGAAACTGAGGCACAGGGAAGGCCCAGACCCTTTGTTTTCAGTGAGAGTTAGGCACCTCTGAATGGAAGTGACTTTCCCAAGGTCCCCCAGCAGCTCCAGGGCACCGCTGGGACTAGCACCCAGGGGTCCTGAGCACCCACCCTGTGCTCAACGCCACTAGGCCACGCTGCCTCCCTGCATGTGCTGCCCCTCGCGCTCCACTGAAACTGCCCTCGCCAAACTCTTTGAGCTCAGCACTGGCAGCTCCAGCCTCAGCCTGCCGGCTGCCTTCCCCAGCTGGCCACGCTCCGCTCTGAGGTGGGCTTGTCCCTGTCCCCTCAGCTCAGAAGCCCGGGGCCACCCTGACACAGGGGCTACGTGGGGATCCTGAGGCCCACGGTTAGGGGCCCGTCGAGTCACGGAGCTCCAGGCTAATTCACTGGCGCCACCTCCCCCAACAGGCGTCGGGGGACGGGCAGGGCATTGCACCGGGGCAGATGGCCGGCACCTGTCTCCCGATGGTGCTGGGAACAGCAGCCTGGCGCCGTGGCTGGCCGAGCACAGGCCGATTATTGGGAGCATCAATCAGGTGCTGAACGTGACTGTCCCAGCGAGGCCCTGCCACCCCCTCAGCCTCCGGGCAGCGCAGCTGAGTGGCAGCGAGACCCATCACGGGGCTGTGTGGCCTTCGCTGCTGCCGTCGGGCGCTCAAGGGGTGGGGCAGGGGCCGAGCTGCGGGAAGAGGGTAGAGGCTGGAGCATGGCTCCTCTGGGACAGACCCCAGCCTGCCTGCTGGGGGGGCACCCTGCGGACAGCGCTTGGAGGGGTGAGCCCGGCTGGTGCCACCCCAAGGCAGGGCAAGGTCAGGGCACAGGGGTGGGGTGCCAGGGGGCGCACATGAGGATTTGTCCGGGGCTCTCCTTGCCTGAACCCACCCCCAGCCGAGGTGGTTGGTGTCATCCCCGGTGACCGTGTAAAGGTTTGTGCCAGCAAGCGAGGCTGGGCTGGCCTGGGCATGGCCCATGTACAAGTGCCGGGTCTGGCTTACAGCACACGTCGGTATCAGCTTGGGCGCACAGGTGGGCGTGTGCAAGCCAACGTGCACACACATTTACCTATGGGCATGTAGCTGGGTGTCCGTGTCACTGCTCTGGGCCGGCCCCAGCGGGCAACACGCCCAGGCTGCTCTGAGATCTTGGCACTGGGGGCCTGTCCCAGCCGCTTCCACACTGCAGCCGGCTCGCCCATCACGGCCATGACTGCCCCTAGCTGCTGGGTCTAGGCAGGATCACCAGTGTCCCATCTCCCTGGTGCCCCCCTCCCTTCCCCGGCTCTGACAGGCTCCACCCTGGTGGGAGCTTCCCCCCACACCAGCCCTTGGCTCCTCTGGCGAGGGGTGTGAGCTGCAGATGGGGCAGGGCCCAGGAGCGATAGGGCCCAGTGGGATCCTGGCTCCCTGTCTGGGATTGAGGGGGTGTCAGAGCTGTCCTGGGCCAGGCTCTGACATTCTCCCATTTAAGGGGATCTGGATCCAAGGGTTGGCTTTGACAGAGCTAGGCCCAGCCCTGTGGCCAAGCCCCCTGGGTGCGCTAGACCCCCCCCTCCGTTCCGTGTTTATCTACACACACACAGACTGTGCCCACCCTGGAGTTGGCACCTGCCCACTCGGGCAGTTACAGGCACACCACCCCTCCGGCCAAGCCCTGTGCCCTCGGCACCACCTTTCACTGGCCCCTGGGAGGAGCCGGTCTGTCCAAAGGGCTGAGCATGCATGATGCCCTTGGGCACTTTGGGAACCTCCTCCCCCTGCCCAGCGGGGTGTTGATCCTGCATGGGGGGGGATTCCTTCTGCCCCCGACTTCCTTGGCGCTGCCCTCACCCCCCGGAAGGCCGGCCAGCCCTGGCAGGGGGGAGCCGGAGTTTCTCCAGCGCGTGTGTTCCCATCTCAGCCTGTCACTGTCACCAAGCCCCAACCGCTTGGTAAATGGGTTTCATTAAGCAGGGAAGTGGCGCCGAGGGAGACAGGCGGAAGCGACAAGGTGGGGACCGTTAACCAGACAGATGACGCCATGACAAATGTGTGGACTGGAGTGGGGAGGGGGTGGGGAAACCAAGTCAGTCTGACAAGGCGGCTGCGGGGCAGGGCAGAGGTTGCAGGTGGGGGAATCAGTGGCTGAGGGACCCTGGTGTAAACCCCCCCCCGCCCCGTGGGCCGGCACTGGCAAGCAGCTGTGATAAACCAGCGTCAATTAACTCTCACTTTTAGAGGGGCTTAAAGGGCCATTTGAGTGGATTTATCCCTGTAATAATGTACAAACAGCCTGGCCCGCAGGCTCAGGCTGGTGCTGGTGCTGTCTCTCCTGGGGCCGCTGGCTCCTCTCTGGGCCCAGCGTGGCAATCAGTTCTGCAGCTCTGGTCCCCAAGCCCCCGCCTTACAAATGACTGGTGAGGCTCCCCCATCAATCCCACTCGCAGAGCCCAGTCCGTGCGTTGAGCTGGGCTCCGGGTTTGGGGGGATATAAGAGCTGCAGCGGGGGAAGGTGTTCACACAGCGCAAGGAGGGAGCGGGGCTAGGGATCATACCGCAGCCATGGACGTGCGCCTGGCGCTGCTGCTGGCCCTGCTCTCGGGCACCGCGCCGACGGGCCAGTGCCTGGAAGGAGGGAGTGTGTCCAAGGAGACCCTGGCGGACGAGCCCAACGGCTACCTAAAGAGACTCTCCGACTTTCTGGTGAGCGGGCGCTGCCCAGGGAGGTGGCAGTGGGCTGGGTAGGCAGGGACCACGGCTCTTGGGTGCACACAGCAGGTTGTCGCTCCCTCACTGGGTCCAGGCCAGTGGACAGAAACGGGACCCAGGACTCCTGGGTTCCCTTTCCATCGCTGGGAGGGAGCGTTGGTCAGTGGTTAGAGCAATGAGCTAGGAGCCTGGATGTCTGGGGTCTATTATGGGCTTGCTGTAACCTTGAGAAGAACCACATCCCTGGCCCCCTCTGTGCCTCAGTTTCCCCATCTGTTAACGAGCCCGACCTACCTCATGAGGCTGAATTAATGAAAGGGCTCTGAGTTGCTGGTGGGAAAGATGCAATGGATGGGCAGAGGCTCCCTGCTCCCCTCTTTGAGTCATGGAGCATCCCCCACCCCCACCCCAGCCTTGCAAACGGGAGTGGCTGAGTGCTGGGCTCTTGTTCCTGGTGGTGCCTCACGCGGTCTCTGCTCTGATCCTTGGGCCACTCAGTGCCACCCACTGATGTCAACGGACCACGTGGGTGCGACAGGTGCCTCGCACCAGCTCAGCCCCTCCTGGCCAGCGGCGTTGGTGGCAGATCACTGGACACAGTATGTTAAAACCAGGGCTTCGCACGGGGACAGCTAGGATGCTGTCACACATACACCCCCCACCGCCTTGCCCCAGCATCAATAAGCCTCTGCCCTCACCTGCACAGAGAAAACCCCGACCCATCCACAGTGACCCCCATTCCTGGCTGCTGGGCTCTGGGGTATCCTCCCCCAGTGGGGCTGGAGCCGCACCCGGTGCTGTGGGAACATGATGTCTGTCTGTCTGTCCCAAGGCCTTTGAGCTGCTGGCGGATCTGAGACACTGGGGGGTACCCCATCCCCAGCCAAGCAGTGCCCCAGCAGAGCCACAGGGATCTGGTAGGCTCTGGACCCCTCCTGGGGTCCCCCATGCTGATGGGCTGAGCCTTTCCCCTGGGAAACAGGAAGGTTCTGGCAGATGGAGAGGAGAGACACGAGCTTCCCGCTGTCTGCTGGCTCCTCGCGGTTCAGGCGGGGTGCCTAAGGATTTGGGCACTTGGATGCTACGGGAATCGGGGGATGGGCTCCCCTGGGATTCGGTGGCAAATCCCAGCTGCCAACCTTAAGGCCAATGATGTCAAAAGAGGCCACCGACCTGGGGGGTGGGACGTGAAAGAATCTCAGGCTGTTCCCTCCCCGCAAATGGAGCTAGAGCAGCCCACAAGGGGGCCCCTCTGAGAACCTGGGGGCCCAAGGAATTAGCCTTCCACCCCGCTCCCACCCTGGTGGGTAGCATCACCCCCTTTTTACAGAAGGGGAAACTGAGGCACATCACGGGGCAGGAACTTCCAGGGTCACCCAGCAGGCCTGTGGCAGTGCTGGGAATGGAACCCACGTTTCCTGGCTCCATGTGCTAACCACGACTGAGTTTAGAGAGCGGCTGAGTAGCTGGAGCGTCCCCTGGGAGTCCATGCTGGACCCAGGTTAGTTCTGGGGGGACAGGAGACAGCACCTCTGTGATGCTCATTCAAGCACATCTGTTGTTCCCCATGGGTCTGGCAGCAGGGTCGGAGGTGCCCGTTAAAGGGCACCTGGTGTTGGATCCCAGGGAACCAGGGCGTAAGCCCTGCCGTCCAGGCCCACTTCCACCCAGGCAATTCCCCACTGCCTCCCTGCATCCCCAGCAGGAAAAGGAGTTTGCCATCCCTGTCTGCCTGTAATGCATGGTTAAACACGGCTGCTGTGCTCCACCCCAGAGGCAGCTGCCTCCCGGCGCGGGCAGCACCAGCCCGGGCTGTACACACTACGGGACAGCTTGGGTTCCTTCTGGTTAAAAGGCTGAGGCGGGTGCGTGAACATTGCCCTTCTGCAACCTGGAGCAACAGGCACCCAGTGCGAATTCTTGCAGGGCCTGAGGATGGGCCAGGCTGCCCGTGAACGTCCTCGTTTAACCCCCTGCAGTCAACCCACCTCCTCCCCAGATCTCTGGGGTTGTTCAGCTCTGGGGCCGCAGTTTGCAGCATGGGGCCCTCTGCTGGCAGGCTGGACTCAGGGACTCCAGCAGGGTGAAGAGTTTGGCCTAATGGCTGGCAGGGGGAGGCTTGATCCCTTGATGGGAGAGTCCCTTGATGGGGGAGGGTGGGGGTGCGGGTACCCTGCCTGGCTGCCTCTTGGGGGGTTTGATATCCAGACGGTGCTGCCCCGAGTGTGTAGGGTTGGGGCAGCTGTTAACGGGCAGGGGCACTTGGCTGTTTGCCCCACTACACCGCAGGGTGGGGGGGGGATTGGATATATACAGGTTGGCCAAGAGCAAACCTCAGAACCACCTTGCTCATGCCTGCCCCCCGTTTCGGCTCACCTGCAGCAGTTTAATACGGTGGCACTGGCCCCTGGGGCCAGCCGAGCTGGGGGCCCAGACCCAGCCTAAACGCCATCCCTGGGCCAAATTCCCCCCCCCCCCAACGCGCTGGGACCCCTCTGCAGGCAGGGGGCTGTGTAACCACATCCTGTCCCCACCCCTTGCAGCAGGAGAGTGAGGATCGCGCCCCTCGGTCCCTCTCCGCTGAGCGCCTGCCGAGCACCCTGCTTCGCTCTCTGTTCTTCGCCCTGCAGCGACCCGGCCGCAGCCCCTCCTTCCTGTTCCAGCCCCAAAGGTAAGGAAGGGGGGCACTGGGGCCCACCCACACCCCAATAACCCCCCCCCCCCCGCTGCTCTCTGCAGCAGCCTGGAGTTAATATCTCTTGACTCTCCAACATGAAGCAGCATCAGCCTTGCTCACTGCTTGGCTAGAAGCCCCCCCCACTCCCGCCCTTTTGTAAGGGGACGGAGGGTGAGTGCTCATTTTACCAGTATACCTGCCCCTGACCCCCTCCCGACCCTCATACACGGGACTGGATCCCGGTTAGCTCAAGCCCTTTCCCCAGGGCCACACACTAAATGGAGAAAGCCCTTTTGCTACTGGAAGAGGCGTCCACCTGGGCTCAAATACAGTCCCATGTAACCACCTGGGGTTAGACCCATGTAACCACCTGGTCTCAAATACAGTCCCAAGGGCCTGGGGGATGTGGTGCCAACACAGAACTCGGGTTTGGGGGCTAAAGGGAATTGAGCTAACCGGCATTATAACTCCTTGGTCCCCAGACACGCCACTAGGGGGCACCCTCTCCTCAGGGTCCATCTACACCAGGGCAGGACAAACCGTGGTTAGCACGAGTTAAACCTGCCCCACTTGGCACCAGAGGCAGCCTGTGGCATATGGCCAGCTAGCAGTCGTTTAGAGGCACAGAGTTGGCCTAGGGCCCCCTCCCCAGCCCCTGCAGCTGCTCCTAGCTACAGACCCCAGCGCGGATCTCGGCAGCGCCTCCCAAAGTGGGTCAGTCACATGAGGTCAAGGCGTCCTGAGTCCCAATCCAGAACTCTCGCCACTAAGCCAGACATACTCCTACCAGGCCGTGCCCTGCTCCCCAGCCAGCTGCCGGGTCGAGGGGTTGGGCTGGTGGGTCTGCACTCGAGTCTGGGCCCTCGAGTTAGGTGACTGGCAGCGCCGGCCTAGTTCACACAGGGCAGGTACTGGGATAGGGCTGGCGCGGGGATACTGTAGCCAGTTAGCCCCGTACCACCTCGTGAGAATGCGGGTGTACTGGCGTAAAGGAGCCTGCTACAGGTCACAGAGTCCGAAGCCAGCAGGGACCATCAGCTCATCCAACTGGACCTCTTGCCAGAGGCCCCTACAGTTCCCCGCGTCGAGCCCAGGACTTAGGTTAGACCAAAGCAGACAGGCTCAAGGCGCTGACGCTGTTGTGAGCCCAGATGCCAGAGGCCCCTGCCACAGCAGGGGATTGAGTAGCAGAGACGTGCCCGCATGATCCCAGCAGGCGACCTGTGCCTCACGCTGCAGGGGAGGGGGACCCCCCCGCAAGGTCCCTGCTGATTTGACCTGGGGGCGGGGGGGATTCTTTCTAGCCCCCAATCTGACCCCTGGTTCACCCCAGAGCATGTGAGTAAGACCCACCAGCCAGGCACCAAGAGAGGATCCTCTGAAGTGCCTCAGAGCACCGGTCCCACCCCAGCGGCTGCCATGCCCCCCTTAGATGACAAGCCCCAGAGTCCAGCTGGCGGGACCAGCTTGGCCGCAGCAGCACCTGGCAGCCCAGTCTAAGCATGGCTGTAGCTCCAGCAGCCTGGTGAAGGGGCTACGTGGGTGGAGACACAGCCCGAGGCCAGCGGGGATGGCCCTGGCACCAGTGGGTGCATCCCACTGGCCCTTACTTGGTTTGATGGACCCGGCGGTACAGGAACAGGGGGCACCAGCCAAGCTTGGGCCATGGGTTGGGCCAAAGGCACTTCAGCAGCCAAGGGCTTCATCTGTCTCCCTGCAGGTTTGGCCGCGAGACCCAGGGGAGCTGGGGCAGCGAGGGCCGGCTCAGCCAGCGCGGCTGGGACTCCATGGCCCCCCAGTTCTGGAGCATGGCCGTGCCCCAGCGCTTCGGGAAGAAGTGACTCCGAGGGGCTGCTTGGCTCCAGCACCCGCCGGCCCGGATCAAAGCCCCCCCATCCGTGAGCAGACTGGGCTGGGGTGACCGTGGCTCTGGCAACGATAATAAAACGTGAGCGTCACAGCTGGGGGATATGTGGTCAATGTGCCCGCGGCACAGTACCGCCCTTCGCCTCTGGGGGCAGCCCACACCCAGGGGGGCAGCACCCTCGCCGTGACACAATCTGAAGCAGGGAGGGAGCGGTTCTGAGTTCTCCCCTGGCTCCAGTCAAATGGGCTGAGCTGGAAAGGGAGAGGCCGGGGGCCACTGGTCTCTGCCCCGTGCGCGCTAGATCCCACTGCCTCCACCACAGCCACAAGCGGGGGGCGAGGGAAGATCCTACAAGCCAGGGAGGGAAGGGCCCAGGTGGGCCCATCTCAGCGCCAGGATAGGCCAAGCTGCCCCGGCCAAACCAGTGCCCCCGCCTCACGATGGGCAGCCGGGTGCCTTGGCTCCACTCGGCTCCCCCCACCCCACTACTGGGCCTCAGACTGGCCCCAGCGCCCGATTGCACCCACCCAGCCGAAGACTCAGCTGGCCCCATCCCATCTCCCCAAAAGGAAACACATCAACATTTTGGAGAAAACCCCTCCATCCAGTTTATTTCCCATCTCCTCCGGCACTTGCTGCCCCCAGGGCGGGTTCCGGGACAGTCCCCCCCACAATCGATCCATGGGTTCCAGCACTGGCCCCCTGGCCATGGGGCTTGGCGACTCCCCCGGCACGGCACGGACGCCGATCAGGACAGGAGACGCGAGGGCAGCTGCCCCTCCCAGAGGGGATTTGATCCTGCAGCAAGGTCCTTGGGCCCGTGGCAGGGGCTGGCTGCACCTGAATTTGGTCTTAAAAACCTTGTGTCTCGCCTTTAAACAACAATAAAAATCTACCCCGCCCCCCCGCTCCAGTCCCACAGGGGCGGCTCCAGCACAGACCCCTGGGGGGCGGCTCTTGCTCCTGGCGGCCCAGGGCAGCTCCATACTCCAAATCTGCTCGGGACCCAGTTCCTAGGATGGTGCTTCGGCTGCTGACATTGAGGGTGTGGGGGAGCAACTCCTGGGGGAGAGGGGGGGTTCCAGCCCCGCCCAGGTCAGGGGGCACAGTCAGAGGCTGCTGACGAGTCTGGGGATGTAGCGACGGGGGTAGGAGGGCACTGACCCTCCCTATGGCCAATAAGAACTTTTGCTCTGTGCGGCTGGAGCAGGACAGCAGCTGGGGGGGGCAGGTTGGAACAGCCGTGGGACAGCATTAGCCCCCCAACAGTGCAGTGGAAAGCGCTGGGCTCGGCTGGGGGAGGGGGACTCCCTGGAGTGGGCAGCGCTTGGATCAGGAGCGATCTCCTGCTAGGGTGAGCTGCTACACTGGCCCTCTGTGCCCCCACGTGTGGTGGGGGTGTCGGAGCAAGTGGGCCCCGCCCCTGAGAGCCCAGTGCGTCCCTGCGTTCAGAGCCCACTCAGGCCTGGTGCAGGCTGCTGGGGCAGGGCTGGCGTCTCTCCGGGGGGCTCCAGGTCCTGCCCCTCACGAATCAGGGGAAGCAGGACGCCCCGCCCTGGCCATGGGGCTGCGTGTGGGTCCAACCGGTGTCTGCCCCAGCCCCGGCCTCGGGAGGCATGTGCCGGCATGGCTCCAGGCACCCACCTGGCTGAGCGTCCACGGCCCCAGAGGCTCTGCTGGGCCCGGGCACCTCCTCATTTGCCTCCCGCCATGATCTTGAGGTACTGCAGGGCGTTGCGGGCAGCGGCGGCACGGGCAGCAGCGCGGGAGGCGGCTGAGCCGTGGCACACCGTGGTCGGCTGCGTGGACAGCTCCACCAGGCACTGGTACAGGCCGCTCAGGCTCATCTCGTCTGCGGGGAGAGATGGGGCGTCACGGCCGGGGGCGCTGCAGGCTGAGCCCAGGGGGGACGTGGGTGTGAGCACAACAAGGTGTGCTTGGGGGGGGCTGCTGAGCCCCGGGAAGGGGGGGGGGCTGGATGCTCAGGCCCAGGGGAGAGGAAGGGGCAGAGGGTGATGGGCGAGCCCCTGAGGTTGGGGGGCAGGGTGCTCGGCCCCTGTTTGGGGCATGGGGGAGGGCGCTTTTCCCGCCAAGGCTGGCGTCAGCAGTAACAGACTCTGGAGGTCGCTGCCCCTGCCCCCCACGGCCGGCCCGAGGAGCCCCCAGCATATGGCGCAGTGCTGGGGAACCCTCGCCCCACAGGAGGGACAGTGCCGGCCCTCAACGGCATGGTGGAGCATTCCCGTGGGGGCAGGCGCCTGGCGGGCAGCGGGGGCCAGGTGGGGTCTCTGCCCCTTACCGATGTCCAGGTAGCTGATGTCGAAGCTCTGCTCCTCGGAGAGCTCCTGCAGGAGGCTGCAGAAGCCGGCGTTGAGCGCCTCCAGCGGGTGGCTCTTGAGATGGAGGATCTTCTCGCCAGCCGAGTTGCGCAGTGAGTCCCAGGTGCAGCCTGAGAGCCGGCCCTTCAGGCTGTCCAGCTTGTTCCCCACGGTCTGGAGCGGGGGAGAGAGCATCAGCTGGGGGCCCAACCCAGCAGTGGCCGAGGGGCAAAGTGTTGGGGGAGCACGTCTAGGCCTGGCCTCTGCTTACAAGGCAGATCTGCAGAGCTGCACTGCCGGGGGTGGGAAAAGGGACCGCTCTGACGTGGGCACAGCCCTGCCCACCTAGCCCTGACGCGGGCACAGCCCTGCCCTCCTAACCCACAGAGGAACCCCCACTTCCGGTGCAGGAGGCTGCGTCTACACTATGGGTCCCACTGGCACAGCTATGCCATAGGGTGGACGAGCCACTACTTTGAGCCCAGCCGCTCAGCTCGAAGGGGCAGGCTGGGCCTTGTAACCTCCATAGGTTGCCCCACAATCCTACTGGGCTCCTTTGTCTCTAAGCAGCATGATGCATTGCGTGCTGGGAGGTGTAGTCTCTTTGGGCCACACCCTCCATTAGGGAGGGAAAAGCCCCACTGCCTCCAGCTCCCAGCATGCAATCTGTTGGGCAGCTTATAGTCTCCATGGGCCACACACTCCCCTGCTAGAAGCCCAGACACATGCCCGCTATTGCCTCCAAGCAATATGGAGCACTGCGGGCTGGTAGTTGTAGTTTCTATGGACACACCTCTCCATCAAAGGGTGAGACCCCATTGTCTCTTAGTAGCACACAGAGCACTGCATGCTGGGAGTTGTAGTCCCTATGGACACACCTCCTCCATCAGAAGGTGAGGGCCCCATCTCCAAGCAGCATGCCGGTCCCGCCCTCGCCCGCACTCACGATGGAGAACTGGTCCTCCTCCACCTCGGCCTCGCTGCCCTCCCGCTGGTCCATGGGCACATTGTGGATTCGCACCAGCATCTTGGCCGCCGCGTTGCGCTTGGCCAGCTTCTTGGAGGTGCCGCTCCCTGCAGGGGGAGCGCTGTCATCGCTGATGCCCAAAGCCCGGCATGGGCACCGCTTGCCCTCTGGGGAACAGGGGGTTAACTCCTGCGCAGCACAGGGAAGGGCTAGAAGAGGAGCCCTCTGGCTGCACCAAGGAGTCCCCTAGGGCCTTGTCTGATAGGGAAAGATCACCAATGGGGGTGTGCCTTCAAGAGGTTAGGATTGAGGGGCACAGGCAGAGCTGGGGTGGGGAAAGCCCAGGGCCGGGACTGCGAGTCAGGACCTGCCCAGCCCCTCCCTGGCTCCACCTTTGAATGCTGGATTCACTCACCCACTTTAGGGGCACCATGTTTTCTCTGGAATTAATCTGAACACCCCTGTAATCCCCACCCTCCCCGGGACCCTCTTCTCCCCATGGGAGGTGGAGATGCTCCCATCACCCATGTCGCCTCAGTACATGGCCGGCAGTTACCTATTTCGATGAACCTCTCAACCCGGCAAGTCATGGTGAATTCCTTTCGGTGGGCAGGCCCCGATTCCTGGGTGACGGTGTATTCTGGCAGCCTCCAGCCCTTCTGGACCACCAGCTCCTTGGGGAGGGTGACAACGGGGCATCATGAGAGCCTTGGCAGGATCCTCCTCAGGTAGGGGAGTCGGGGACCGCCTGACCCCAGACACAGCTGGTGGTGTGAGCACCAGCAAGGCTGGTTCCAGGGACCTGGGTGGAGAGGCCCTCAGACTGGCAGCAAACACCCAGGATAGGGCAGTCCCCGATGCCTCTTGCAGATAAATTCCTACCCAGATACCCTGGCCAAGCTACTACCATTAAACACCAGGGACTGGAGGAGGGGGTAACTGGCTGGGGCAAGTCTGAATCCAGGCATGGTCAGTGCAGACCAACCTCCCCCCAACCCCCTCCCCCCAGACTGTCACTTAGTGGCCCATGTGACGTTTGGGTCTCATTTAGGGCTGTCAAACAATTAAAAAAAATTAATCACAATTAATTGCAAGATTTAAAAGATGGTGATTCATCGTGAGATAAAAAATGAATTGTGATTAATCGCAGTTTTAAATTGCAGTGTTAATAATAGAATACCAATTTAACTTTATTATAAATATTTTTGCATGTTATTTTTTCTATCTTTTGAAACATATTGATTTCAATTTCAACACAAATACAAAGTACACACTGCTCGCTTTATATTATTTTTTATTACAAATATTTGCACTGTAAAAAAAAAAAGTGCAAATCTACAAGTTGAAGCATGAAGAGGCATACGAATGTTTAGCGCATCTGGCACGTAAATAACTTGCAATGCCAGCTACAACAATGCCATGCAAATGCCTGTTCTCACTTTCAGGTGACATTGTGAACAAACAGCAGGCAGCATTATCTCCTGTAAATGTAACCAAATTTGTCTGTCTGAGCGATTGGCTGAACAAGAAGTAGGACTGAATGGACTTATAGGCGCTAAAGTTGTACATTGTTTTGTTTTTGTGTGCAATTGTGTAAAAAACCAAATAATTCTACGTTTGTAAGTTGCACTTTCATGATAAAGAGATTGCACTAAAGCACTCATATGCGTTGAAATGAAAAATATTATTTCTTTTGTTTCTCTCTTTTGCAATACAAATATTTATAATCAAAAATAGTAATAGATAGTGAGCACTGGACACTCT